TGTATTGGCTTTCAGCGCGGTCTCTTGCTTTTAGAATCGACTCCTTTTTATCACATACATTCTTGCAGATTCTTACTTTAATATGAATAGGTAGAAGTTTACCTCTGTATAGATTTACTCTATTTACTTTGCAAGAACTACAGTAAACTAGTTTTTGAAGTTGAGCCTGAAAGTAAACCAAGGTATCCCCAATGGTGTACTAGTTAAAGCTGCAGCTGACAGATGAAGAACTGGTTTCAGCCTGGGCTGTACCCTACTACCACATATCGTTAATCATGGGAGTTGTATTCAAGAGGAATGGGGACCAGGTTGGGTGGGGTTGGTTAGGGGAGGATCACTGAAGACACAGTCAAAGAGAGAGGTCTTCTGACAGGCCAAAAGTAGGCAAGGGAAGGAGTGAGGTGAAGGGATACTGGGATGGAGTTCAAAACAATAGGGGTAGAGGGGCTTCAAGCCTGATAGTTGATGGAGGGACATGCAGGGGATATGAAGCAGGCCAGTGCCTGCTGAGCGGAGGAAGTGGGCGAGTTGGTAGGGTCTAAGAAATTTGCAGAGGTAGAATGGGGCAAGACTGGGAAGGGATTTAAAGGTGAAGACGAGGATCGTGAAATTGATCTTCTAGGGGATGGGAAGCCAGTGGTAGCTTGGCGAAGAGAGGGCTGATGGGCTCACATAGCTTAGATTCCACAAGGTATAACCTTTAATTCGCACTTCCGGAATTTAGCAAATTCCTACTGAAAATTCTGTTAAATTCTATACACTGCATACCTCTCATGCTCAAGTTCCAATTTGTAAGGCATGAATTATCAGTGCTAAATCCATACTTATTACTCCTTACATTTTACAGAAAAACGGAAGCGTTTTGAGGCATTGAGTAATAAGACACTATATGTAATGCAAGTTTCATTATTTTAACCTGTATGCTGTTTAGGTGAGCATTGATGGGAACCCCGACATACAGTGTTTTTCCTACTGCAGATGTCAGGTTAACTGAAGTACATTTGTGCGTCAGTTGGCTCAGTTGACAGCACTCTCGCCTCTGGATCAGAAGGTTGTGGACTCAAGCCCCCCATCAGGACTTTGAGCTCTGCTGACATTCCAAAATAGTCCTGGAGGATGTACTCCAATGTTGGAGGTGCCATTGATTTGGATGAGATATTAAACCAAAGTCCCATCTGCCTGTTCAAGTGGATGTTAAAACCCATGGCTCTGTTGAAAAGTGAAGAGAGTTTCTCAAGTTATCAATAACCCAACTGAATTTGTTCATTCACTTCCTGCTGTTTGTGGCACATCGCTGTATGCAAATTTGCTGCCATGTTTTGCCCAGAAAAAGTTACCACATTTTAGTATATCCTGTGAAGCACTTTGAGATGTCCTCCCAATGTGAAAGGCAATATTTCAAATGTAAGTATTATTTTAACAGGATCATGCTTCACTCCTTTTTGGGAAAAGGTTTATTTTGTCAAACTGATGTGTTTGGACTTGAAGTGTAGAATTTTTAAGAAAAGGACTTGAATCTTTACCACAGATCAGTTTTTAACAATAGGCAATAAAGATCTTTAGGTTTGATGGATGATTAGAACTTTGTTGTAAAATGTATGTCTTTAGGCAAAATATGTGCTGCTTGTAGAGGCCACTAGAAGCTGAATTTCATGCGTGAATGGTGAAGATATTAGGGTATATCATGTTGAAGAATCTGACTTGAGATGAGAGTCCCAGAGCTCTTGGAACTTTTAAATTACATTGAATTTACATTATACATGTCTATTTTTAAACATTCACTCTCTGTGCATTTTGTTGGGTGTGTAAACATGAATAGTCTGACAGATTTGTAACAGAAAGAAATTGTTGCTTTCATAGCAGGCAAATTCCCATAAAACCATGTTTTCTTAAATTGCTTTGATTAATGTGCATTGCAATTCCCCTTTATATGATATTAGTCCACTCTGATATTACCCAGTTCTATTATTCACAAGATAACAACTGTTCTTTGAAAGTGTATGGAATAAAAAAAAACTATTTTATGTTTGTAATCCGGAGGTTGTTTGGATTAGATTAAGATTGAATATTGTATAAGTATATTGCTGGTGACAGTTGAGGTAGATATGATAGTGGAAATATATTTGAGTACTTTAATTGTAAAACTGAGGTAATTAAAATCGATTCATTTCCTAAACGAGTTGCTCAAGGGTTTTAAAACGTCTTTTTCCAATTTTAATGGAAATTCAATCAAGGCAGAACATGAAAATTGGAAGTTAAACTGTACTTTGCATTTGGATTTATTATAATAATAATAATAATGTCTTGAAGCTGGACACGTGTGTGTAGATTCCCAGATTCTTTTAGATTGCAAAAGAAAGGATGGTTTCAGTGAGTTACTGTGCTAAAATGAAGAATCAAGCAGATTTGGATTGGGTGAAGTTAGCATTTCTTTGCGGCTCTCACTGTTCAATTACAAGCCCAAATTATGAAAATTGGGTTGTTTGAAATATATTTCTATCTTGAGTTCCATAACTTTTAACCTATACTGAGATTTTTCAATTTTAAAAGCACATAAAACTTCTTTTACCAGAATCTGCAGTTTTAATGTAGATTTCTAATGTTGAGCATTATGAATCTCACTTTCAGCTCACACCGTCAGGTGATACTCCTGGGCAGTACTGGAGCAGTACTACACTGTTAGAGATGCCACTCTTCAGATGAGTTGCTGAACCAAAGTCCCATCTGTCTGATTCAGTGGAAATTAGATTCCATGACATTCTTTGAAAAGAGAAGGAAGTTTCTCTAATCCTCCAGATAAATTGGTCATTCACTTCATGTGTGCAAATTGGTTGCTACGTTTGCCTACAAATAAAGAATTTGGATATTATAAGTCTGCTATAATAAATGCAAGAATTATTGCATTTATTATAGCACACTACATGGAGTCCTGTAGCTCAGTGGTTAGAGCACTTGCCTCGCAAGCGAGAGATTGTGGGTTCATTTCCCATGCAGGGCAAAACGTTAGATAAGTTTCCTTACTCTACATGCCTCTGTTTACCTAGCAGTATATAGGAACCCGGTTGTTAGTCTATTGGCAGATCGCTTTTTCGGGGGTAATAATAACAACAACTTGCATTTATTTACAGGTTTTTTACAGTGAAGCGCTTTGAGATGTCTCAAAGACGTAATAAGGCTCCGTATCAAATGCAAGGATTATTATTATTAATAGGGAGTGGAACTATAAATTTGAGAACCCCCCCCCCCCGCCCCCATATTCCTGATGAGGCTTTTTTTTTCTGGAGGACTGTAGACACACCTTGCTCAGGAACTGGACGACCGAGACCGCCACGGAGGGTGGGCTCGATTCTGTTGAACTGTTGTCAAACATTTCACCTTGGAGTCAGTTCAGCTCCATTGGGCTCAATATTTGTTGTCTCACTGCTGGATTTGTTTAATAATACCGTTGCTATTGGTAATTAGAGTCGACACCTTCTTTAGTGAAATTATGTTCTTTCCTTTAAAAAAAAATCCAATATTGTACATCAGACTTTTCCCTGAGGTCAGCTGGTTTAGACATGCAGATTAACAGTTGGAGAAAATGTGAAACCTGCAAATCCACGTTCAATTTTTGTAAAGTCAACTCAACTAGAAACTGCTGCAATCATAACATTGATATGTACCAAATGATTATCTGCTACCAACATGAAACTGATTACATAATTTGCAGAAAGGCTGTAGCTCTTTCTTTTGGTTGAATTGACTGTGAAAACTTTTAAAACTATATTTAGGAGTTTGGGTAACTCAATACATTAGACACTTAATTATTAGGGATGCTAGTTTCTGTTGGATTGAGTGCCTTGTTTAGTATTGTTTGAAGATGCCCATGCACTCCAATATAATAACAACAACTTGGATTTATATAGCGCCCTCCACGCCGGACGGCATCTCAGAGTGCTTAGATCAATATATCAATATTGGCCATGAAAATAACAGCACAAACATTACAAGTGCACACTGAGTCGTACTTAAAGGCTGAGTTCGCACACTTACAGTATCACAAAATCAAAGCAAGTTTGTTGAATAATGCATGTTCATTCATGTAGCAGTATCCCTGTTTAAGTGCAGTATTTTCTACCTTATTATTTTACTTATTTGTATTCACAAGTAAAGTAGCAGCTAATATAGGCATGGGGAAAAGCTGCTGTGCATCCGGATTAACTGGCTAAATGAAGGTAGTACTGCTCAGAGCAGGAATGGCCACTACCTACAAGATTTAGATTGGGCGTACATATGTCCATTTACTACCAGGTCTTAAAAATTGGTCAAATTATCAGTTTAAAATCTGGTGCCTTGGGAGTTTATAAGGTTTCGCATTTCAAATGAATATCACACTCAGTTTAATTATCATGCAAATCTGACATTCCTTTGAAAAATGTCTCTCTTTTCATTTTTCATGTAATGAAGGTTTAATGGGAAGATTTTTGTGTAAGGTGTAACATATAATTCATTTGCATTTTATTTAAATTTGTTACAGCAAATTTGCTTTTAACTCAAAATGGAGATTGTCTATAAATAGATTCCAACTCAGAGGATCAGCTACTCATTTTCTGAAATAACTCTTGCCGTGACATTTCTATGCCCAAATCAAAATTCCAAAAAGTTTCCAATATTGTATTTCTATTCAAACATATCAATTAAGAAACAGTCCTATGGTTTTGTACAACATTGGTCTACTTTGGCAATTGGAAATGTGTAGGGGTTTTAGATATTATAAGACAGGTGACAATTTGAAAAAGCTATGATGTTCGACTCCAGTTTTAGAACAGTTTAGCAATCTTTTTATTGCATTTAAGGGTTCTTACCCTACTGTGGACTCTACCTTGAATAGTCTGTTTATCATTATACCTGTTTTTTGTGAACTAAGCTTATCATCAACTCTTGATATTAATTAACATTTATTTTAATTGAAAGGTAAATGTTCTATTATGCTTTTTGATTGTAATTTTTTTTGTAAACAGCCAATAATCCCCAAAAGCCCAAGCAGAAGTGTTGCCACACCAACCAGTACCATCGGTACACCAACAAAACGAGACAGCTCTGCACTTCATGATCTTTTCATTCCCCCTCCTCCTTCAGAGCCTTACACGCCCAGGTAATGATGTGTTATTTATTATTCATTTGTAAAGGTGTACAGCAATGCTAAATTGAAAATTGCATTTGTTGAAGTCTGTAATGTGATACAACAATAACAACTTACACTTATATAGTGGCGTCCACAAAGGGTAGAGTCTCAGAGCGCTTATCAGTGGCGGATCCTGATTCCAGGGAGGGGGGAGGTGGCCATAAGCACAGCCAAAGAGGAAAGTTTTCAGGCAGAACTTGTTCGGCTATGATGCTCCAATGATCAAATCTGCAAACATTCAACATTTAGGTTCACATGCCTCTTTGGCAAGATACCTGAGATTTCCTAAGTGTCTGCTAGAAGCCAAAACTGTCAGGAAAGAAAGGAAGAGTGTTAGATGAGGAAAATGGGTTTGAGTTCCCCATTGTGCTTTGGCAAATATTGATTGTATCTTAATGTAGCTTCGTGTTTGACAGTGACTTTTGATGGTGAGCTGTTAGAGTACCTGCTTTAATTTGGAGGGGTATTTTGCATGACCAGTTCAACAGTTTTGATGCCTGTATTTTTAGTGAAAAGTGGAAGGAATGGAGTAATAAAATGGTGGATCAAAATAATGATGAAAGACTGAGATGATGTAGAAATGGGAAGAACAGACTGTGCAAGTTAAAATTACAGTAATGTCCAGTCAGCAGTGTCCAGTTGAGCAAATGAAATATTAATGCTCATAAAAAGTGGAGTTAAATCCCTATTGGGCTAATAAATCCTATATTCCTGCTTTAGTATAGTTGTATTTATAAAATGCAGTTGATGAGTTATATTTGTGGGTAGTTTATTCATATGCCTTTTTTTGCAGAAGGCTGGAGGGTTCCAGCATCTCGAGAATTAACAGGTAAGTCCTTGAGAGAATGGAGATGACTAAGACTCTATGCAGTAGCTGTGAACCAGTAAGAGAGTTTATTTAGAGGGGGTATAAAAATTACAAATGAGCATATGTAATTGAGTGTCAATTTATTCAGTGAATGGGCTACCTCATATATGTTGAGTTATACAAGATTCCCAATGTGAACATTGGATTCACATGTAGTGTAGACAAATGCAGTGTAACCTCTAAAGGTGATCTTATGTTGAAGAGTATGTTCATGCATGGAGACATTGTTGAGTTTGTGGTTACAAAGAGGAATAAACTGTGGCGTGTAAGAGGAATTCTGAGGGTGAGAGATACTTGCATAACTTTTCTGGAAGCTCAGCGCTTTTAAGGCAGTTCCAGCGGGACCATTGTTTTTTTGCAAGACAATGATTTTTGTAATTGAATCTCCCTTTGTCTCATCACGACGTTATATTTTTCATTATTAGTTTGTCCCTATTCTAGTAAACTCTTGATATTGGTCTTTGCAAAACATAATTTATTCCCTAGAAACTGATGATTTGTAGTTTTGGTTAGTTACAAACCTGAAGCGTTTTTCTCTAAAGCTTGACAGAATAATATTCATTAAATATTGGAAATCCTTCTCTTTTATATTTTAGCGCCACCCCATACCATGAGTTGGCCCTCAGCACTCCAAGCAACAGCAGCCTTACTGCTGCCTTTAACAATTAGTGTTGGAATATACCACATAATGTTCTATCATTGTATGTGACTTACTTCACTGTAAGTGGAACTAAAAATGTCACATTTACTCAACCTTATCTAAAGCAGATTACAGTATATTTCAAATGTTTATTTTACTTAGATAAGAAAGCATGGAATGAAACAAGTTAATTGATCCATCAACATTTTCCTTCCACAGACCTTATACAGTTTGTGCTGTCATTCAATCTATTACATTTATTTAATCTTCTGAGGGAACGTTGTATAATTTTTTCTGTGAACTCCAAAGCAAAGCTTCCCAACATTGTGACCAGCATTACTCCTTTCTAGCCTAAGGCCTTCCATAAGTGACATTTTGAAGTACCAGCAAAAGAGAGATCATAATCCATATAGTGTTTGATTTTTCCAGACTTCAAAATAAAATACTAGAGAAAAATAGCTACCAAATTAAGATTGAACTTTAGAATTTTTCAGAGTATAATTCAATGTAGCCACTAATTACTGTTTTTAGGCATTGGACGGCATTTAAATCTTGTGGTTTTAGTTTCCATGTTCTCTGACGAGATGCTGATAGGATTGAGTCCTTTTTTTTGATAATCTGGACATGATTTTCAGTATTTCTGCCAATTTTGTTTTCTGAATGTATTATCTATTGATTGAAAAGAGCAAAACTATTTCTTCAGTGGCTTTGTGCACGAACGCGCAAAGTGTGGTATTGAGGTGCACAGATCAGGAAGGCCCAAGATTTGAATGATCTGTGCTGTTAATCAACCTTCACCAAACTATAACTTCACCAATTCTCTGACTTAGAAAGGGAGGGAGAGAATTGTCCCATCGTGATTGTCATCCAGAACCCTAATAAAGTATGCCTATGTAGAGAAGATTGGAGTTGGCTCTTATGTCAATGGTTGTTATCTGTATGCTATCTGTATGTACAGAATAGATGTTTGGGAAAGCTACTGGAGGGCTATCGTGGCCCATGAAACTGTACACAATACCGAGTCTTTACCTTCTGAGAAACACAGAGCGAAGACTGGAAAGAGGAGAAAAATGTAATAGTTCTTGTTGATGATCATTTAATCGAGAGGACTCAGTCCTCCAATCATTCTGCATAAACAGATGTTAATGAATCACTGGGTTAAGAAGATAATTTGCCTCGTGTAGTGCATGGTTTAAGTAGTACACTCCAAAGATGATGTTGACAGAAGTTACCAAACTTTCTTCAGAAAATATTTTTTCTCATTAAGTTGTTTGTATTTTGTATTTTTCTCTGTATTTGGGATTTCCTTACTGGTACTGTTTCACTGAAAGTATATCAACTGTATGAATATTTTTTTGGTGCCACTGTAGGTGTTCTCCTCCACTGGGCTGCACTCTAGGAAATGTTCTGTACGATGCACTTTCTTCTTGCTTGGGGTTTGTAATCCAGTATGACTTTTGAACAATTGCTGCTCATTTTTCAAATCTTTTAATTGTTTTACTCTTTTTTTCTGATTTTTCTCATCCCCTAAAAAGTTGGCATCTCTGAAGTATTAATAGATTCTCTTTATCATTGCAAATCATTTTTGATGCTTCTATAATCTAGAAGTCTTAATATCAGCTGCATTCCTTGTAATAATAAAGCAGGTCCTCTGATCTTTTATTGTCAGATATCATTATGACACAGACGACTTGCTCGGTTATGCAGTGCTTCAATAGCAGCATTCTTTTTGGCATTGGATTGGCAAACTAGATGATTTTGCACTCATAGATATTGGCGTTTTGCGGAATGTTTCTCATTGACCTAAAGTACTGTAGGACATTTTTTAATCTTAAGATACCTGTAATTTTCAAGTTTGACCTTAACACCCCATAGATTTTCCTATCTGATGTAAGAACATTATTAGCTAATGATTAGTGCACTGTCAGTCCTTCCTAGTCCAGAGGAAGGAGCACAATTCCAATAGTGGTCCAATTATACCCTATGCCTTATTATTGAAGAATCACTACTGAATAGTAGTTGAAGAAGGTCTCTTTCCCCTCCCTTTTTTCTCTCTTCAGTGATCCCTATCCATGCACAGTAGAACTGGTAGCTCTAGAGTCTGGTATGTGCAGCCTAGTGATAAATGTTGCAGGGTGAGTATGTAGTATGGATCTATTGGTTTATGTAAGTAAAATGTGGATGTTTGTTTCTTAGAGTTGTTATAGAAACTGTAAATTTGTCATGAGAAATTAGGTTTAAAATCCTACCCTAGCCATGGCAAAGGCAATCTAGGTTGGAAAATTTTATCCTGATGAAAAGTAGATTTTTTAAATATCACATTCAGATACATTATTTTGCAGATAAATATAGCAGTATAGTTTTGACATTAGTGGCTTAATTTACTCCTGCCAATAATTATTAATATCAACAGCCTCTGATTCTAGTATCCAAAGTGTGTAGTATGCACAAAATGTTCATGTGCATTGAGTGATGAGTGCTGCTCAAATAAACCACCAATTTAAACGTTAAATTATTTAAAGATTTAAACTCACCGTAACCGTTGTTTGCAAAGGTCTTCAGTGGAAAAAACCAAGACAAAACCAATGCATATCCTAATTCCTCACATTTTTAATATGTCAATTGTGCTTTTTTAAAAATAAAGTATTTCAATAAGAGGGTAAAATGTCCATGCCACCCATGACAAAATTACAAGTGTACTTGTTGCTGTTGCATCTTTCATTTCCCTAATATTTCGGATGGTATCCAATGTCAAAACAATTAAGTTATCGTGTTTAATGCTGTGTAGTTTCTACTTTACTGCTGCATTTCATATTTGATGCCATTCCTATAGTTTAAACCATATTTCTGTATATTTAGTTATGAAATTGGAAATGAAAGTGCATAAGATATTAAGTTGATATTGTAAACTTCTGCTTTAGTGGCATTGTATTTAATTAGTAAAAATAGACATTTACCCTTTTAGTGGCATCTTCAGTTTGACTTGTTTCTTTAATTAGAAAGATGAACAAGATGAACTAAACCATATTTTTCTCCAATCAAAAGGGATGAAAAAGGGAACCTTCCCATTGATGATGCCAGCAGACATGTTTTGGGAAAGCCAGTGTCTAAAGGATCCGAATCACCCAATTCGTTCCTGGATCAGGAATACCGCAAGCGCTTCACAGTAATTGAAGGAGATGCCATGGTTCTCAGCTATGATTATGACACAAGCAGGTCAAGTGGGCCAGGCAGAAGAGAAAGTACTCTGACATGTGGTAATTGAGCTTTACTCTGCTTTTCATTGAAAACTGATTAATTTATTATTGACCTTTGTATCTCTTTGATTGAAGTATTCTATACAGGGTATAGGATATGCAGGGCTTCTTTTTATTATGTGGACCTCTGGGTCCAATAGCTCAGAAGCATTTTTTTAAGTGAAGCATTAAAAATGGTTGACTTCCAGGCTATCAGGTCGCTGCTGAGATCGCCTTCGGTTGCACAAGTATTGCAAATTTTGCTTCATTTCATGTGAAAACAATCCATCTAATTATGGAAAACTGGACTCAATCCTTTAGACGAGCACTATCTCTAATAATACTACATTTCACTCCCCTGGGAGGAATACAGTAATTGGGAGCAGGACAGTTGGACAACCCTTGTTCTTGATTTTTTTTAAACAGTTCATCACACTTTTACGGAGTGCAAACTCAGTGAAACTGCTCCTCACAAAACACATAACTGCAATTTGCATTTCCACAGCACCAATTATGTAAAAGAACATGTCAAAGTATGAATGACAGCTTAAAATATTTTTAAACTGACAAAACTTGCAGCTGTAAAGGCAATTTTTGAAGCATTTAATTAAAAAATTGTTCTTTTGGGGAAAAAATGTAAGAACAATTTATATTTCAGACTTTACAATTGGGTTTGATAACTCTTTAAAAGGTACTTTTTAAAAAAGAATCCTCATTGGCAGATGCTTCTCTGTTCTTAGTCCGGCGTGTGATTCCATGGGCACTTGGATTCCTGTAGCTCAGTGGTTAGAGCATTCGCTTTGCAAGTGAGAGACCTGAGTTCAATCCCAGGCAGGGCGAAACCTTGGGCAAGTTTCCTTACTCCACACGCCTAATAATAATCCCTCCAAAAAAACAAAACAATAATAAAATTGGTCATTTTCAATCCATGACTGTTTGTGAGACATTGCTGTGCGCAATTGGCTGCCACATTCGCCCACAAATATACAGTCAATTCACTTTACAGTATATTCTGTGAAGCGCTTTGGGACGTCTAGAAGACGTGAAAAGCGCTATATCAAATGCAAGGATTATTATTATTACTTGCTGCCCTCCCTGCACACAGGGTAGATAGCGTCCCAGAGCGCTTCATAGTGGCGGAGCACGACGCCGAAGAATGGAGGTGACTGTAGGCAGGGTCAAAGAGGAAGGACTTCAGGTACGACCTGAAGATGGGGAAGGAAGAGGCAAAGCGTAGGGATAGAGGAAGAGTGTTCCAGAATTTTGGGTGTAGTGGCTGAAAGTCCAGCCACCGATTTATACCCAGATATATATATATATAGAGCCTAGAATTCTGAAAATTGACAGATATAATCAGGTTTTTTTTTAAATATCACTTTCCAATATTGTTCATGATGCTGGCAGCCAAATTACACCTGCCTGTGGTATTCTTGGGATCTAAAGTGTAATATATGTACACTGCAAAGTAGTCTTACGACACTAGCTGCAGCAACAGTTGCCTTAGTGAAGGAGTTTGGAGATAGTAACAGAGCTGGGAAGAAGTTCATAGAGCCAGAGAGAAATGTGAGAATAATGAAGGGTAAGAAGAAACACAATATTTAAAAACATGGAGACTTAGTAATTGAGACATTTAGAGACAGAGCACACTACAGGCTATCACTGGCAGTTCATTCAAATTATGGACAAGTGGCAACAATGAATGTAGAGTTTGATGATAGGAATTAGTCTCACAGCTCAATTGAGCTGTCTGTTTTCACTCTGCCTATTGAATTCCAATGTCTCCATTATTTCTGAAATAAATAATTTTTTATGGAGAGAAGGGGGTGGGGGGCGCGGAGGGTCAGCAGTGTTGAGAATAAGCACAATCATTTGGTATTCACCACTGTAGTTTTTCCTTTGTGACGATTTGCACTGGATTATTGCCGGAAACTGGCTGTTTAAGATCACTTGAATGAAATAAAGTATTTGAAGTATTGAAAAATTCTGTCACTAATAAAATGATTTACAGAGAGACTAGAGAGCAAGGAGAGGGTTACTGTAAGCATGATCAGTAGAGCACAGAAGTTGCTGAGTACAACCTTTTGGATTCTCTATTAATCTCCTTCCCCCAAATCTTGTCACTTTACCAGATAAACGTTTAAAACTGAGTTGCTGGGTCAGGCTAATTGGGAGTGCCTGAGAAATCAAAAATGATGAGGAACCATTATCACAAACTAAAGTACATGTGATTGTAAAAAGTGTTTGCTGTTTCCAGGCAAACTGAGACCGATTTCCATGCCAGTGGAATACAGCTGGGTGGGAGAATTTGAAGATTCGAGCAGACTCAAACGAGATGGCAGAAGAGGTGAGAGATTCCGGCTCAGCAATAACCAACAGTGGATTCTTGAAGGTTAACATTTTCAAAGCACAGATCTTCCTTCACTCACTGAAAATATGTATAATGCATTTATTCAAAACAGAACCGATTTAAATGTCTTTTCGGCATTCAAGAAAGATGACGGCCCTTACCTAGCAACTACATATTTGTTAGCATGACAGGTTGATTGGTACATTCATTGGAATGTACACTGTAGATGAGATAACGGGAACTTGCCAATGAGAAAATTTAAAAGAATGCTATTTAACGTGTTACTGAGTATATCCAAATAGTGTGGGGCAGCAAAGTACAAAGCAAACAGGATGTTGTGCTTCATTTCCTTATAAGTTAACTTCAGATCCCCTGAAGTCATGCTCCAACTATATAGTATTCATGTTCTAATAACCTTCTGTATGAAAATGTTCCATCTAATCAACTTTCCTAGTGTCAATCTTGTGCTTGTGTCCCTTGTTACTAATTTACTAGTTAACAGGAATAATCTTCTTACTATCTATTCTCTTAAAAATAAATTCCTTCTTCTACCTCACCTTCTCTGTTCCAATGAAACAGAGATCCATCTGGATCCATCCACACCTTCAAGAGTGAGGTTGATAGACTTTTGTTAGGTCAGGGTATTAAGGGATATGGTGAAAAAGCGGGAAATTGGAATAGAACAACGACAAGATTATATTTGTATATCGCCTTTCACGTTAGGAGGACGTCCCGAGGCGCTGGACAGTGTACAGCATTTCAGACCCGAGCTGGAGTTAGGGGGGAGAAGGGAGGGGAGGGGAAGGGGGGTGACTGATGGCATGGTCGAAGAGGAGGGTCTTGAGGCAGGACTTGAAGGAGGCTAAGGAGGGGGTGAGGCGGAGTGATTGGGGGATAGAATTCCAGAGGTTGGGGGCAGTGGCTGAAGGCTCTCCCGCCAATGGTGAGGCGGGTGGGTCAGGGCACGTGGAGCAGGCCGGAGACGGCTGAGTGGAGCAAGCGGGTGGGTGGTAGGGGGTTATGAGGTCGCAGAGGTAGGGTGGGGTGAGGCCATGGAGAGCTTTGTAGGTGAGGACCAGGATCTTGAACTGGATCCTCTGAAGGATAGGGAGCCAATGGAGTCGGGCGAGAATGGAGGAGATGGGGTCACACAGTTTGGTGCGGGAGAGGACACAGGCTACAGAGTTCTGGATTATCTGCAGCCTGTGGAGGGAGGAGTTGGGAAGGCTGACAAGCAGGGCGTTTGCAAAGTCGAGCCCGGAGGTGATGAAGGCATGAACAAGAGTTTCAACGGCCTGAGGGTTGAGGTAGTGAGGGAGTTGAGCAATGTTATGTAGGTGAGGGAAGGCAGAGCGGGTCATGGCTTGGATGTGGGGAAGAAAAGACAGTTGAGGTACAGATCAGCCATGATCTAATTAAATGGCAGAACAGGCTTGAAGGGCTGAACGGCCTACTCCTATTCCTACATACAATATTTTTTAACTTCCAGTCACTAGTTAGTGTTATCACAACACCATTTTCCTCCCGTTATCTGTATTTAAGTGCTCCGAGATGTTGTCCGGCGTGAAGAGCAATATATAAATGCTGTTGTTGTATTTAAAGAGTGCCATGTCTATTCGAGTACAGAACCTCAGTGTAAGATCCTGATAGATCTACAATTCTCCTTAATAATTTGTGCTGTTTGTTATTTCTAAAATGCAAGGTAGGGGGTGGAACTGTAGGATACTTCAGAACATTATTTCCTTATTTTTTGTATACAATGGAGATGAGCTGTGAGGAACAACTAGGGCTTTTTGAGCCTTCAAACAAGAGATCTCATATTATAGAGGTATATAGGATATTAACTGATTGAGTGGTTCAAGAAGGAAATGTATAGATATGCTGGGAGTAGAAATGTCAAAGGAGATAGTGAGAACACGGGAAAATCTGATTTAAGGAGTATGTAGTACCTTGTCTGTTGCAGCAATAGCTCGATGGCTGAATGGCCTTCTATTCTTATGCAAAATGAGATGTAAAATATGTTTTATATCAATTTGATTTTTTGTATATTCTTTAAGGTGAGGGAAAGCTAATGCTGAAAAATGTAATATATTAATATTAGCATTTGATATAGTGCCTGTAATGTTAAACCTCTCAGCACGTCACAAAGTTTCAGAGATAAATTAATATTTAATAGTGCTGCAAAGCCTTTCAATGTTTAGCACTGTTAGTACCGTTTAGCAAGGTTGCTTATATATTCCCGTAAATCCCCATTCCCAGCCATCTCCATTTCCTCAAGGCACAAGTGCGAGCTGCCGAATTCGCCTGGATGAATTCCAAACTAACGGTCCATCGGCAGATCTGGCTTCACCACACCAAGATCTACCACTACGCTCTTGCCTCCGCCAATCCTCCTTCTACTCCAAGGTTATCTTGGAGGCAAAGGACAACCCCCGGTTTCTCTTTTCCACCACAAACCATCTCCTCCATCCACCTTGCCACGCCTGGCCCATCCTCTCCTCAAACTTCAACTGTGAGGAGATGCTGGATTTCCTCGAAACCAAAATCGAAGGGATATGTTCAGCTCCCTCTGCCCCGTCCACAGCCACCCCCACATCACCTCTCACTCATGACCCAACCCCCACCCATCCCGCCCTTTACTCCTTCGACCCCATCTCTCCCTCCTCCCTCTTCGCGATTGTTTGCGAACTCAAACCCACCACCTGCTCCCTCGATCCCATCCCCACCTCTCTCCTCATCTCCCAGCTCCACCTTCTGGTCCCTCTCCTGTCCGACATCATCAACCTCTCCTTGTCAACCGGTTCAGTTCCAAACCCCTAAAAACAACTGTCATCACCCACATCCTGGAAAAACCTTCCCTGGACCCATCCCTACTCTCCAGCTACCGCCCCATCTCTAACCTCCCATTCCTCTCCAAGGTCCTGGAATGAGTCGTCGGGTCCCAACTCCGCTCCTTTCTCTCTCGCCATTCCCTCTTTGAACCCCTCGAATCCGGCTTCCGCACTGCCCACAGCACGGAAACAGCCCTGGTCAAACTCACTAATGACATTCTGAACATCTGCGATCAGGGCTCCCTCTGCCTCCTTGACCTCCTCGACATCTCTGCCGCCTTCGATACTGTCGACCACTCCATCCGCATACACCGCCTCTCCTCCTTACTTAATCTTCACAGACTTGCTCTTGCCTGGTTCGATTCCTATCTCTCTCACCATCTCCACTTTGTTGCCTCTAACGGTTTCTCCTCCAGCCCCCACACTGTCACGTCTGACGTCCCCCAGGGCTCTATCCTTGGCCCCCTCCTCTTTAATATCTACATGCTCCCCCTTGGTGACATCATCCGCAGACACGGGTCAACTTCCACATGTATGTGGATGACACCCAACTCCATCTTTCTGCCTCCACCCTCAACTCCAGGACCACTGCTGTCCTGACAGACTGCCTGTCAGACATCAAGTCCTGGATGAGGGCAAACTTCCTACAGTTGAATGTGAACAAGACTGAGGCCCTCCTGATTGGCTCGTGCCAGCGCCTCAGCACCTCAGGCTCTGGCAACATCAACCTCCATGGTTGCATACTTCAACTCACCGCCAGTCAGGAACCGAGGTGTCTTGTTTGACCCTCAACTGTCTTTTCTTCCCCACATCCAAGCCGTGACCCGCTCTGCCTTCCCTCACCTCCGTAACATTGCCCGACTCCCCCACTACCTCACCCCTCAGGCCGCTGAAACTCTTATTCATGCCTTCATCACCTCCAAGCTCGACTTTGCAAACGCCCTGCTTGTCGGCCTTCCCAACTCCTCCCTCCACAGGCTGCAGATAATCCAGAACTCTGCAAACCGTGTCCTCTCCCGCACCAAACTCCGTGACCCCATCTCCCCCATTCTTGCCCGACTCCATTGGCTCCCTATCCTTCAGAGGATCCAGTTCAAGATCCTGGTCCTCACCTACAAAGTCCTCTTGCCCCACCCTATCTCTACGACCTCCTAACCCCCTACCAACCCACCCGCTCCCTCCACTCAGCTGGCTCTGGCCTGCTCCTTGTCCCCCAACCCACCTGCCCCATCATTGATGGGAGAACCTTCAGCCACTCTGCCCCCAACCTCTGGAACTCCATCCCCCAATCACTCCGTCTCACCCCCTCCTTAGCCTCCTTCAAGTCCCGCTTCAAGACCCTCCTCTTCGACCATGCCATTGGCCACCCCCCTTCCTCTCCCCTCCCTTCTCCCCACCTGACCTCAGCTCAGGTCTGAAATGCTGCACACTGTCCAGCGCCTTGGGACGTCCTCCCAACGTGAAAGGCGGTATACAAATGTAATCTTCTTGTTGTTGTTATTGTATGTTGCTTTTGTTAAACGCAGAGAGTTCACTGCTGAGGTACATGAGTGATGATAAAATCCCCATCATCCAGGAAGAGTACCTGGGTAAGAAAGACACAGGGAAGAGATCCAGAAAGAAAAGTGATAAGTTAAGCAGTCCAAGCCACCCCATCAGCCATTATGCACTGTCAACTCCAATAACACTGGAAGCTGCTCGACAAGAATCCCTGAGTGCGCCACTACCAGAAACCAACACCATCACCCTGTACCACGTAAGTAAATGTTGGCTGTACTTTTTTCTTGAATAACCTCTGAGATGTGTACACAACTTGCAACTGTATAGCAACTTGCATTTACATAACAAAAATTACATTTATATAGTGCCTTTCACCTCAGGATATAATAGTGGTTTTATGTAAAAACAAACGGCTTAAAGGGTGGGTGCGCACTGAGCAGGTGTAGGGTTAATTTGCAGACGGCCAAAGACAGAAGTGAAGTGAGAGGCCGTTAGGAGATTTTTATAAGCAGAGAAAGTGGAAGCAAGGCACAATGTTTTTTTTATATAAGGTCCCCCTTCCCCAATTTTGTTTGTATGTAGTGTTTAGAGAAAAACGCACTTGGAACATATCCACCAACAAAACACTATTAGCTGCTGCCACTTATTTGTGCTTATTTGTGAAGTGGAAGCAGTAAAGAGTCTCAGTTTTACTTCTTCTGTGGTTCCACCACTGGGAACACTTATTGAGAATGAATTGAGAACACAAAAAGGATACATTCATTTCTAATAATATAATATTTCTTGCATTTGATATTTGATATGATCAGTCCTGTAGTTCAGTGGTTAGAGCACTCGCCTTGCAAGTTTCCTTACTCCACACGCCTGATAATAATCCCTCAACAAAAAAAATAATTTGGTCACTTCAGTCCATGGCTGTTTGTGGGACACTGCTGTTCACAATTGGCTGCCAAGTTTCGCCCACAAAATATACAGTCAATTCACTTTACGGTATAGTCTGTGAAGCGCTTTGAGACATTTAGAAGACGTGAAAAGCTCTATATCAAATGCGAGGATTATTATTGTGTCTTTCACCTCAGGAGGATGCCTCAAAGTGCTACACAGGATACAATAAAGTGTGGCTGTATTTTGTAGGCAAACAACAGCAGCTAATCTGAACACAGGAATATCCCACAAACAGTCCTCAAGTCAGTGACCAATTTTATCCGGGGCATTAATGCCCATGTTACCCTTCTATTTTTAAATGGTGCCATGGTATCTTTAATATCTTGAATAGGCAGACGGGACCTCTGAGGGATGGCATCTCCAACAATGAAGCATCAGACTAGTGAAGTGTCAGCCAAACTGTGAGTTGCAAGTCCTTTTGTGGGGCTTGAACACACAATTTTCTTATTCAGAGGTGACAGTGTTACTAGGTCAGCCAGGCTAACGCATAATTCTGCTCCACTAACCAGACAATACATACAATACAAAACTGAAACGAATATATTTTTTGAAGGTGAGGAGCAAAACAAAAAGTTAGAAAAAACAACTAATAACCATATGTTACCGTTATGTGCATTGGGAATCTGCTGAGGATAGTGCAGGGTTTATTCCCCTTTTCAAATTGTTCTGAAGCACTATGTTGATTAACCAAATATGTAAGTTTTTTTTAATAGTAAATGTTGCTCAGTGGGAAAATAATATTTGTTCAGTTGAAAAACTATTTTTTATGAGGCAGTTTTATTTTTAATGATACAGTAGATTATAACTTACCCACACATATGTTAACTGTTTTGGTTATTCATACAGCAATTCACACCTGAAATCTTACTGATTTAGGCAGGTAATTTCCCAGAAGTGTGGTTATGTTGAACAATCTATTTATAAATTAAAATCACAGTGAATATTGCTTTTCTTCAAGTAAAGAGCCTTTTTAAAAAAATATTTTCAGAAATCTGAACAATTTGTCCACAACATGAAATAATAGCAAAATATCAATTGGAGTGACATTTCTGATTCAACTCTAGCATATTTTATTTGCTTTTGTGTTTAGCGTTTCTCATTGATTGATTGTTTTTGTGTTTCGGGTAACTATTTACGAATCAAATATTTAGCTCATTTTTGGTGCTTCTCAGTCCTTTTTATTGAATTTTTTCCTGGTTCAAACTTGCAGCAAAGATCGCTTATCACTGTATGTTGGGCACGGAACCCACAGTACAATCTTGGTTTTTTAGGTTTCCTGATTCCGATTTTAATCAGTAAAAATCTGTATTGTTTGTTTTTCAAATTTCTCTATCAATGAAAATTTCCATGATTAAATATCTTTTGGAGTTAAGGTACAGATCAGTCATGATTGAATAGGCTGGCAGAACAGGCTCGAGGGTTTAAATGACCTACTCCTGTTCCTATCTATTTAAACATTTTTTTTTGCATTGTTTTGAGCTACAAAAATGGCAGAATTCTGAGTCGTAAAGTTGCTACGGATGTATATTACTGCCCAATGTACTTAGCAGTAATACAGAGCTACCTTCTGGATCAAAAGGACGTCATTTTCTGCACAATGTACAACGCTGTCACTGTAGTGTGGGTAGCGACCCCCATGATAATCTTATGATTCCAAAATCAGACATTTTTTGTCATCAAACATCACTAAAAATAAACAAAATGAAGGTTAAAAAAAAAATCTATTATCCATTTTTTTAAACAGTTGAAAAACAACAACATTATCATTCAGTGAAAGGCCCCTTTTTGACTATTCTCTGGAACTACAGTATATTAGTTTTCAGTCTCAACAAAGAAGGTTTAAAATGTTTTATTGCCACATGTATTTTCTCCACTGAAGTGGAAGTTCAACTTCTACTTGTTTTTCATAATGCACTAGCATGGAATGGGTTTGGATATCCCTGTTCCCATAAGTTCACACATAAAGGTTTAATTAAGCACAGTGTTGCTACATTCATGTTGATACAAAAATGTTCCCATTACACATTCACATATTGTTAACTATTTATTTTACTGACCTTGGCTTATTTTATATTCAGGATGAGTAAAGTACACTCCATGTTCTATAGAATGTTATCATTTATCACTTTACACAGCTATAACATTTTAAGTACTGTATTTATTCAATTTTCTCTCGTTTTCTGCTGAAAGTGCTAAAACTTGTGCAGAAAAGTTCTAGCTCATTGTTCCATTCAATAAGCAGCTTATGTGACTATCTTTCTCCAGGAAGGTAAGCGAGGTCTTCTTGGAGCTGAGGTGGCTCCAAGTTGATATACTTCGCAACTGAATTTTGGAATCAAGTCAACCCTCTGTGGTGGTTTTAGTAGTTTGGTTCCTGAGCCAGGCGGATCTGCAAAACCCAATTTTTAATTAAAAATGTGTAATAATTCTACTCTGCCATACCCATGTTCCCCATTGGCTATCTTTTTATTTTATAACTTTAATTTAATCTTTTTTTCTACCCATTCTAATTTGTGACTCTTACATAATCCTGCTTTTCTTTATCTATTCAAGTTATTTGGTTCATTTATCCTTCTGCTAGGGTTGTAGTACATTCCCCAGGTGTAGGTCAATCCTCTGATACTAACGACCATTATGCACGTGTAAATCTTGAATGTGAGTGTTGGCAAACGACTCAAACCTGATGGCATCACTTGAAATCTGATCCTGTCCTCACCACACACATCTACCTATAGCAAAGACCTCTGGATAGCAATCAGTAGTAAGAAATCTGGATGATTTATTTTCTACCCCTCCCTGACCCAATACTTCTGAGGTCAACTGTTTCCCTCTTCCCAATACTGTCCCGGCTTGCTATCCTGGTTGATACCAGCTAACTCGGCACTGACCAAGTTTAAACTTGTAAAAATAGAGACTGTGTGGCATAGGAATGGACATAAGAATTGCTAGACGAAAGAAGACCAAGGTTCATCCAGTTTACCTTCCACCATCCAGGCAGTCTCATACACATGTCGTGTCCCAAGCAATATACTGTATAATATAAATATAACAGTTTTACCCAGTAGTCCACTATGGTAGCTCATGGGTCTAATAAACTGAGAGTCAATGTTTGCATTTGGGTCACCTAATATTAAACCTTTTAAAGTGAAGTGGGATAAGCAACCTTATTACTTTTAACAGCCAGGTGCAAACATGCTGTGGAATACGTCTTATTATTCATATCCCGATTTAGTCTCTAAATCCATTGAGTACACCTTCTGAATATTATTTTAATATGTCTGATGGTCTGTGAGTGCAAAACTGATTTAGATAACCTGAAAAAGACATTAGCAGGTGACATTCCTGGCAATGGAATCAAGCCAGCCCTCTGTGGTGGTCTCGGTAGTCCTGTTCCTGAGCCAGGCGAGTATGCAGTGTTCCAGGGCACTACTGATGACAGCACAGCCAGCCTGGCTCATCGGCCAGGTCCTGGAAGGGCAGACCAGTCACTGGGGTCAGGGAATCATCCCACTCAGCTCCTGTAAACCCTGCAAGCCAAAGCTTTAACGGGTAGGATGGTCCTAGCTGGACAAGCAGCGGGAAAGCTTGAAAGACAGCAATATCAACATCTATTCAGTTTTAGCTGGTTAGACTCCAACAGTACCCCAACTCACGCTCTTGCCAACCTGCGCTTAATACTTTCCGGAATTGGGTAAGTAGGATGTGTCCCTCCAGGGAGAGAGTGCCCAATGGGAGCCACCTGAGATTCAGGATGATTTTCCCATCATCCTCAGTGCTTGGTTCCTATTCTAAAGGGACAAATCTTAGATAATTACCTCCAGGTGTAAAAGTGCTAGAACACAAACCAAAGCATCTTAAACACCCACACACTGCATTACTATTCTGGAGTGTGGGCTGAAGCAGGTTAGTGCACCCACGCACTGCATCACTAAGTTGAAGCAAATTTACCGTGTTGTAGCATAGATTCCCCAAGCCAGGCAGATACGGACACACACTGAGACTTACTGCAACACAGGTTTATTCTAAGGCGGGGAAAACCCAGAGCAGCAACAACACAACAACTGCAACACCATTCCGCTCTTAAATACAAAATACACAGTCAATCCACTTTACAGTATGTCCTGAGAAACACTTTGAGACATCTCAATGAAGTGATAAGGTGCTATATCAAATGTAAATATTATTATAATTAAGAAGGCACAGCAGGCTCCACCCTCAAGCCTTCCTACCCTGAGGTCCTAATGCCCACTGCCGTCCAGCGTGGAGGACGCTGCATAAATCCAAGTTGTTGTTATTGTGTTTATGAAGTGC